TATCTATTGCCATGTATGATCTCTCCTATTCCTAATTCCCATTGAACACAGTAGTCACCTGACTTTACTACCCAGGTCGTGAATCGATTATGTGTACATAGTAGTTAGTCATCAAGGTTGCTGAATACTTTTCGACAACCCACGACCGATTTCGCTCTTCTATAGGCTCATCAAGTAGGCGCACTTCCCGAGTGCCCGTCAAACTTACGTTCTACATCTATTGTACGCAATCGACGAAATACACTCATTCTCCAATTGACTTACTGTGATCGACCGACTCATCTAAGTCTCTCATTTATCATATTCTTCAAGTCAGTGTGCCCACAAACGTTGGTTGGTTGACATCCTATTCGTGATGTATCAGTATTTTGGGAATTGCACGCAATTTGCTGTTCAAACAGAACATTCAGTTTATGGGAACTCAGGGACTACCTCTACTTGATGAGCCTCAAGAGCAGTGAAACTAGCAGTAGGGTCACGAGACGGTTTACGCAACCGTACGAGTAGTGCACTTTAGTTAACAAATACACTGGGACATCTTGAATATGGGTATCGTGTGATGGCCTGAGAAACATTTGCAGGCAGAATCTTTTGGAATAGCTGTCGAACACGCACGTAACAACGCTGGTTGATCACTTTTTTTAGAGTTTGTGTTTGTGAATCTGATGAGTTTTTTTTGAGTTTTTGATACCACAACTCGCCAAAACACGCTGCTTATCTCACAGAATTGCCACTTTAACCGGTTGATATAAAGAATATTCATACATACAGGGTAAGTGTATGAAGGCAGTCGCATGTTCTCCACAGCTGAGGGACCGACAAAGAGTTTGCTACAACAATGTGGTTTAGTAATCAGGTCTGCACTTAAATCGTTCTGGACGTAATGACCCCAACTACATATCGCGTCATATACTTATCTCAAAGGTTCGTAAGCATTCGTCAACTACCTGATCTTGGGTAGATTATTTTCAAGCCTGAATACCCTATCCTAATAGGATACAAGGGCTGTTGGCCGTGGGAGGAGATTTAGGAATCCGTAATGAGATTTTTCCTGTAAGTAAGAGATAGGACAATTGGTGGAGGCGACCATATCACCCCCAAAATGCGCAGTCAGGAAGAGAGGCGGTGATTATATGGCCTAAAAGACTGTTCTCCAGAGTGGCCACAAACAACTGTGGATTCTTAATAGCAGTACTGATACTGGTATTTTTGCGACCGTAGTTGGTTAATCCAGCTTGGGCCATGATCACCAACGCGTGGGACCTGGATCGAGCTCAAGGACGGTCTTCCACCAGCCACTTCCTTCTCAGGCGGAAAAAGAGTTGTGCGTGATTATTAACTAGTAGATATAACTGTTTCAACGGAGAGAGACACGTCTGACCCACAGTTGGTCCTGCTACCATTGTGTCGATACCTACTGAACAACTCCGGTCCTGCTACCATTGTGTCGATACCTACCTGAACAACTCAGTACGTATGGAACCTCGACCAGCGCTAGTCAGAATCGGAGATAGTTATCTACCGCTAGATTCCTGAAATGAAGCAGACTGGTAATTTAATGACAAAGGTCATCAGAATTTCCGAGGGAAAGCCAAATATACAGCCTGAACTGAAGACTTATAGAAAGCCGTATTCTGTTCCAATAAGAAGCATGGTGGGAAGTGTCAGCAACCGATACCCGAAACAGCTAGATAGTAAAATTGAGTGACCCGTCCCATACAGGTCCAGTGTGAACTTATGCACACCACCGGCTCGAGCCTTTTTGGCCAATCCCAACATCTTGAGGCCGGCCTGGATTTGATCCAGCTAAACCGCGCAGTCTAACTTGCACAAAACAGCATCTGATGTGAATAGCTGGCCGAGACGAGACAAACGGCAACCCAACTCAGGGGCTTACAGTGACAAGCCACGGTAGTTTCTCTGTCTGCGGGCTCTACTGCTCCCCTGAGTGCAGCTGCCCGCAGATAGAGATTAAACGGGGATTTTCGACTGAATCGGGTAAAATTGTAGGCGGATACTGAGTGCAGAGCTCAGAAATTTGACTAGTGCGTACGATTTCTGGCCTCGGCGATCTAAAAGAGCCATAAGACAGACTGAACATTGAGACAGGCGACCGGCCCTAATGAGGGTCCACATAATTTCCCATTATTGCTGCGTCTTTTAATTATTCTCATTAGTGCTGTTACAGGAGTTAACCTTATGAGTAGTGTTCCGCCAAGAAAATGTATTTTAATGTCTTGAATATCGTATCAAATAAAAACACGAGGCAGCCGTTGTGCAACATATTCAGTTAAAGGATATTGTAGACAGGTTAAGCTGGGATTTTCTTGGGTCTCACGTTAAAGCCGAATAGGCATATCATTAAGTGCACTTTGCTAGGAGAAACGGAGTCTTCCTTTAAAGGTTTAAGTGAGATTTATAAGCCCTTTTCATTTGTTGCTACTTGTAAAGAGTCACAGTGTTACTCTTCTGGCCGCTACTCAGTCTGACCAGCCTGACGTTATTAAGAAAGAAGTTAACCCTGCAAGTAAGCATACTGTCGAAAGCGAGCGATGTGTGTGCCTCGTGATGTATTCCGCTGCACAGCAGCAAGAGAATGAGTATACTAACATATTTTGGGCATGGATAGGCACCCTATCTTTGAGATTAAAGGGGCACAAACGATTGCTGGTGAACCAGGTTCGGAGTGTCAAATTGATGTCGTTGCCCTGGGCTTGGCACTGGGCCCAATGCTAGTCAACATTTTCATGAGTTAACTTGAAAATGGTCCCTTAAAGCCTAGCATAGAGAATATGAAGTATTACTGCCTATATGTAGACGACGTCTTCGCTGTTGTGAACAATAAAGACGAATTGGAATCACTCCAAAAACAGTTCAATACGGCCCACACTGTCATTCAATTCACTTCGGAAGGAGAAACCGATAACTTCTCCCACTTCCTGAATGTTGGCCTTGAACGACGTCACGATGGGACGCTGAAACGATCGGTGTACCGAAAAACTACCTGGTCTGGTCAACACTTTGGCTTTAGCAGCTTCGTGCCACTAAAGGAGTAGCGGAACCTGATCCATAGCCTAACTAACAGAGCAAAGAAAATATGCTCTGATGATGCGCGGGAACACGAATTTCGAACTCTTACCAACGTCCTGAGAGACAATGGATTCCCGAGAAGTTTATTACAAATGTAATATGCATGCTATGGAAGCACCAGGGGACAGTGATTCTCCGAACGCAGGTGTTCACGACAATTTCTATGGATGGAAAACAGAAACCAAACTCATGAGCCAAAGCCCAGTAAGCAAGGTTGTACATCACCAATACTTATATATAAATCAATCAAACTGACAGACACCGTATACTACACAAAGCATTTGAACGGGGAGGAAGCAAACACCATCACAGCCACCGCTGGAGGGAAACCAGTTTACATTAGCCTCCCGTTTAAGGGAGATATACCGGCCGATCTACTGAACAGAATGCTTTCCACCAGTCTGAACAAAGTTTTTCCGGCCGCAACACTCCGAACCTAGTTCACCAGCAATCGTTTGTGCCCCTTTAATCTCAAGGATAGAGTGTCTGTCCATGCCCAAAATATGTTAGTATACTCATTCCCTTGCTGCTGTGCAGCAGAATACATCGGACGAATGACTAGGCAACTCCGCTAAAGAATGAAGGAACACAATCCACCCTGGCTAGCTTCTGGAACTAGGAGGACGATAACCAACTCCGTAGTACAACATTTATCTGGCACTGCACATAAAGTGATACCCATCCAAAGCTTCCGCGTTGTTTACCAGTCGCCGGCTAATCAACCCAGATCAGTACAGCAGCGCACAATTGCAGTGGCTGAAGCTATCGCCATACGACATCGCGACCCGATCCTTTGTCGGCAAAAACGCTTTGTTCGTGTGTTGTACTTACCATGGTCCAACTCACCTCCCCTCACACATGCACCTTGTGCTGAACACACAACTACAGCACCCCCCGCGCTGACTAATTCAAGTCATCCTATTGGTAACCTGAACTAATTGATCTTTGATAGGTAGTCAATGTCGTCTCACTCGATTTCCTGTCCATTTACACCATACTCATTCAACTATGTTAAATACTGTTCTCTTAGCCTTTGCAATTGTATGAATTGAAAAGACCCTGCCGAAAACATGTTCGTCAACCCATCTGTGTACATATTTACCTGATTTAATCTCCTGTCCTAAAAGAAACTTACATCTGAACTCCTCCAATTACTTTAGAATGAAGCTTTCATGTCACATTGGTGACGCTCATGGTGTGACAAATCCCAAGAAAACAAGGAAACTTTCCTACTTAAATGCCTTTTGTGTTTTCGCTTGAGAAATGAGAGTATAAGATACAGTCTAGTATTACGGTTGTTTTCACTTTGACTATAATTTCTACTAATCTTTCATTATATATATATATATATATATATATATATAATGAAAGATTAGTAGAAATTATAGTCAAAGTGAAAACAACCGTAATACTAGACTGTATCTTATACTCTCATTTCTCCTGATAATTTAGTTTGAATTCCTATCATTCCTCCCGAATGGATACCATATATACCAGGCAGAATGTGTGCGTTTACTGATGTTCATTTCATTTCAGACAACTGGTTGAGAACACAACTACAGGACTAATATCCGGTCAAACAGCAACTGATTATGTCATCATTGGAACGCGGCTTGTAGGGGATGTTTGAACAACAGGACATCCTGTGCACGTTGAATGGAATATCGCGCACGGGTGGCCGGTGTGTACTTACAGAGTCTATAGGAATTTCACATTAGGAGCTCTCTAACACATTTGGGTCACACGCGAGATGTCGGCCAAAACCTTCTATTGCAGTTCTCAGATCTGGTGAAAACAGAGCAGTGGGGGAATAGATTCCAAATTCTCATTGCAATTTACCCAGCTGTTGCAAAATTAATAATCAGCAGTTCAGTTTTGCGATTTCATTTTCCGCGAATTTCCTCGCACACCTTTGGTCGGTGCAATTTTTGCCTGGCCTCCCCTGTAGCAGCCGAACTTGTATCCACTATCATCCTGATCAAGCCAGAGACAAACGATCGTAGTTACTCATTTACCTGCGTTCTCATCAAAGCTCCGATGATATCCGAACTTAAGTCAACATACTGGTAACCCATTGTGTTGTCTAACAGATTTAGCAGGAGCCACATTCACACGCAGCGAACATGAATTATTTCGCATCGGTCAAAGGTCATTGTGCCCATTCTCACCAGCCCAGTGAAGTGACAGAGGTTAAGCGGACAGCCGGGTCTACGTAGCGTTAGATGTAAGCTCGCTGAAAAAGGCACAGATGTGAGGGGCAGCGAGCCAATGTCTGGGGCGCATGGCTTACTTATTTCCAGGCCTAAAAATAAATGAAACCAGTGGGAATACACCAGTTTGCAAGCAAATTTGGTTTTGCGAGAGGCGCACCTGGAACCCAGCTGAATCTCCCGTTTGTGATGTTTCCAGGCGACTGAATGAGCTGCACCAGGCCGCCTCATGTTTCAATCGCTAAGATATTCGAGATGTCGCGATACATGTATACTCCTAATACACTACTCATAAGGTTGCTGAAAATTCTTCGAAAGCTCACGACCAGTTTTGCTCTTCTTGGGGCTCATCGGGTAGGCGCAGTTCCCGGGTTGCAAGAAATTAGCTAAATACACTTGTTTACTGACAAATTTGGTTTTGCGAGAGACTCACCTGGATCCCGCTAAATCTCTCTTTCGTGATGTTTTCAGGAGTTCCAGGTTGACGGAAACTTGGGCACTGCGCCTACCTGACGAGACCAGTAGGATTTTGTCCTTCTCAGGAGTTGGTAGTGGGAGAGTTTCAACAGCCTTTTGAGTAGTGTGTTCCATAGTGAAAATATACTCCGATATCTCGAGCAGCTGAGATATTATACGACTTTTGCGTACCATAGTAAGCTGTAAAAATATCATATAGGGGAGTTTGTCTGAGTCTCCCGTTAAGACCAAATTGATTTGCAAATCAGTGTACTTCATTTAATGCTTGTAATCTGGTTCCCAGGTGTGACCTAAGAAAACTCGGAGACTAACTCTACCTGTTGAGCTTCAAGAAGAGCAAGACCAAAAGTGGACTGTCGAAGAGTTTTCGGTGGCCATATGAATAGTGCATTCTGTCTGGAAAAGAAATCGGCACGATATTTCCTGCCGCGTAGTTTACTGGGACGGCTTGATTCAGGTAGTAAGTTTGAACTTCCATTGTCGTGCTTGTATTTTTGTCGATAGTCAGTCATATTCAGTAGAAATATTTGCTTCTGAGGTTAGCCGGCAACCTTGTGAGTAGTTTATTAGCCTATATATAGTTCGTGTGAGACAGTTTAAGAGTTTTAGGCAGTTTATAGGTACCGGGGAATGAAAAGGACGAAATATTGGTGTACTAAACGTCCGAAAGAACAGGCCAATGACACCGATAAAATCAGTAGTTGATACCCTCAGTTCATATCAGCCTGGTTACTGCTTGGAAAATGGATTATTTAATTGAATAGCATCCTAACTGTCAATATAGATATCAAGGGAATTCAAGAAGTACAGCAGTCTATCTCATCTTTAAAGTATAGATATGAGAAAGTTCTGTGTTTGAAAGCAATCAGACTGAAGCGGGGATTAAAGTAAATAGAATATCACACTACCTAGAGACATGACTTGGAAAAACCAATGCTTAGTGACGCGAGAGGGGTAATTTTGAACGGTTCGCATTGTTTCGCACGTGACCAGCATGGCCTGGTAAAAAGGAGCTTCAAATGTCTGAAACCAATACGAAGGATCCGCGTTCGTTTGGGAAGCAGTTTTGTGAGGAAACAGCCTGGTTACCATGAGGCTGGTTGAAGCTAGCACGACAGGTTTATGTGGAATTACCCCGAATAATGACTTCACTCCAGGTAGTAGGTGGACGCCAGAGGGGTCAGCACTTTCAAAACGATAGCAGTGGTTCGCCATTCCAAAGTCAACCGCTAGATTGCGGGTCAACACACGAAGAGTCGCCATTCCAAAGTCAACCGCTAGATTGCCGGTTAACACACCAGGATTAAACAAGAATGTTAACTCAGTCCACCACTGGCTGCTATCCTTATCCACAGTCTTTTACTGAGCAAAAGTTCATCCTAAGTTCTCGAATTATTCTTTATTTCGGTATTTATATTTTAAGGATGGGTTCTATGCTAACACTAGCCCTCAACTATCTTTCACCCGCTTGTTCTCTTTCGGTTCGTCCACATCCAGTTTCCGACAACAAACAAGTGTTTCTGTTGTTTTTACCGCCTTTCCGATCGCGTTGATTTATTCCTCCTAAGCAGCCCTATTCCACTGATAAAACTCAACATTCACAACACCAAATGTCTTACTCGCTTGAGAGTTACCGACCAAGCTGGCTAACAGAGTGGTTTCCCCTTAGCGGTTGTTTCGTCTTACCCGGAACTTTTCGTACTGGCATGTCGAAACGTGACGGTGCCACCCTACCCAGTACAGACCTCTCCTTCATCCTGCCTTTCTCAATGTGGAGAACGCACCAGTCACTCGACTAATGTTTCCTCGCCAATCCACCTGTCTCCAGACAGACTATTCAGCCAGTCTTAACCTTAGGGAATACTGAAGCACTGCGGCGAATTGCTGAAAGAAACGTGCTAGCCTTCAAAAGGCCACAGACGACTGATCGCCTCGGAGCACAAGAATGTCATTCAGCTTCAATTTATGCTATACGGAATCCACGCTTTCCCGAAGAAATCACCCCCAAACCGAGCTAATGCCACTACCTAGAGATCAAACTACTTGAGAAAAATGGTCCCAAATTTTGTGGTACCATAAGACGCGTAATGGTGTGTCTTCACTCTGGCCCGAAATCCAGTTGTGCAAACCTTGTTATTGAGGTGCAAACCAGCCTGGCTCAAAACGAACGCTGATAAACTCCCAGATTTCCAGACTGGCAGTGGAAGCAGATTTCCGTACTTTCCAATCCAATACTCCCGTGCGATCTTGCACTGGAGGACGTTTTTCCCTAATCCAATTTCGAACCTCTGCTCTGCTTCGTGGAGGACCTCACGTGAAAAAGTTCCGTCCGTAGGGATTCGTTGCCTGCGTCATGTACCGTTCGAATGTACCAGTTTTTATCACAAGCCTCCAAATGTGCCTTTGCGTTAGTGGCCCTATCTGTACTTTAATAAAGTAATCTCATCCACATCGACAACCTAACAAGTTCAGCTACGCACATTCACACAGACACGCTAGTGCGAAAATGTCGGACGGAAAGGCCTTTGCAACAAGGTGTGCACAGATGAGCAAAGCAAGTGGAGGTTAAAAGTACATGAGTGGAGTAAGCAAATAAATGGGGGGAATTATCATCAGGTCAAGCTAAACTCAAAAGCCACGAAATCAACTGGTATTAGCAGACGCTCAGCTGAGTTGTTATTGTTGCAAATGAGTGTCATTAATACTTAGACGTAACATGCTACCCATGTGGGGGTTGAAAGCTCTTCGACAGCCCACGAACTATTTCGTCCTGCTAGAGACTCATCAGGTAGGCACAGTTCTCGAATTTCCGTCAACCTTATTTTCTGCTTGAACACAAATTGCACGAAATTAGCCAAATACACTCATTTGCATACCAGTTTGGCTTCACGGGGGACTCATGTAGAACCCGGCTGAGCCTCTCGTTTACGATACTCTTCTTCATCGTTTAGTGGTTGGATAAGGATATACCTTGCCAAAGAGCCTTAATAAGAGGGAAACTCGAGTCCATTGCCACCCACTTTTGTGTGGACTCAAAAGGATAAGTGCGCCAGTACTGGGTGAGGATTGTTCAAACGAAAGTGATGCAAACTTGAATCTTACAAATTTCGCAACCTCCCACAATAGAATTGGTCAGTTGCCATACTCCTTGATTCTCACAACCTCTCCTCGTAATCATGTCGGCAAAATACATCTTGGAGGATCAAAATGGACTGTAACTGGTCTGAATTCGCATTACTCCACACCCACACTTTCAGAATGATTCATCCGGATTTACCCTAAATCCTACTTAATAACTGGTTTGAAAGTTTCTGTTTCATGCCGGATCACGGTCAGTCAGGTATTAACCTGAGCTATAGCTGAGCGGTATCCGGAAAATCAGAGAGGCCGGAATTAATCTGTGTGCCAGTCTGATACCAAAGTATGCCAACTCGAACATACTTGATCTTTAAATGTAATTTCAGGAAACAGCATGCTAGAATTCCGTGTGGCATCATTTGTTTACGACGAATGCACTGCCCAAAAGCCACTCGACCTTCCGCTTCGCCCTCTATTAGTGATATCGCATGAAAGTCTTTCGAGTCTGATGTAGAGTCCTGTATCAGCAGCCACTAAGAAATGACAGCGGGCTAGTTAATCAGAACCTTTATAGTCCCTCATTTGAGGCCCTAAGTCACGTTTTTGTCTTTGACTTGACTTCTACGGAAATCTTGATGGATAGTGAAATTTCAAAAAAAAAACGAGGAAGTTGGTTGGTCAGATGTTTGTACAGACAAGTATCTTTCTTGATTTAGACAGCAGACTTGTTCTGAAGCAAAATGAACGTCCATCTCAATCTGCTTTAGTAGGGTATTTCGTATTCTATCCGAATTCATGTACAGAGTTTATATAAGTACTCCTAGTCACAAATACCTTCCTATCATCCTCGAAGAAGTGAAGCATGAGATATTTTCCCACCGCGAAGAATGAACTTCGTAACTAGTGTCAATCCATTGATCATTTAGGATTTTTCTAGTTCTGAAAATTCAACTAGGGAAATAACTTGCTAACCAATTAGACTACTTGAATGAAACGTCCGTCTGTCTCATCGCTACTCACCGTCTTCTCTTAATTGAGACTTGTTCCGCAGGGACGTGTGAAAGAATCGAAGGATTAAGCAAATCTTTCAACCTAAAATGAAATTCTACTGAAAAGGTTCCCGTTTAAGAGGACGAAACCCTTACACAGTGGTCTGATGAGAGCAGCACTGTGACCACATATTATGCGGATGATAGAGCCCACTGGTAGTTTCTTAAATCATGTTCAGGAGTAACGCGACACAAAACTCTTACGGTGCGTGTAGAATTCTATGGAAAATGAACTTTTTAGCACCAGTGGACACACGAGCCATGTGCTGTACAGATATAAACTGAAGGATCGAGCGCTACAATCGACGTGAAGATGTGTATCCATTCTGGAATTGTGTGCTCAGTAGTTAGCTTAGTTCGCGTATTTCAGTAATACAGTCAGTCATCTTTTATTTTGCGGCATCTCTAGTCATCACGTTACCCACACAACATAGGAAACGAATTATACTGGATTCGCCGTGATCGAGGTCAGTGCATGTACCTAAATGGGGCCCAAGATGATGATCAGTTTTTGAAAACTATCAATCTATTCAACTCGTAGATGGTTTCCAACGAACATGTATGATCCCCACAAAAACGGTTGTTTCCACTTGATTGGCAGATAGCACGAGTTCGAAAACACGAGTGTGTAGTGGTGTGCTACAGGTGGTCATTTAACGGCTGCTCTGAATTTTCTTTCAAACATGTTCTTCCTGGAACTTCTCTGAAGCATTATTTAGTTTTCTGAAATACAATTCAGTCAGATTGTTCTTAGTTATGGTTGAGAAAGTGCGCGATAATCTGTCTTCGTCACATTTCATTATCTGACTTTACCGCCCGAACTTTTGCCAGTCCAGTATGGCAAGGCAAACTCAAGTTCCTGTTAAATAATTCAAAAGGGGAAATTAAACATAAAGCTAAATGTTCACTGTGCTGATTTTCTTCCTCAATTCAGGAATGATTTGTTCAGCTTACTCTATTTGACTGTTGTTCCTCTGTTCAGACATACTGTGCACCCAGAAGTGCCACCTGCATGAGTTAGTTAAACTATCTTACTCGGAGTACGGCAGTGAA